AGGCGTTCTGGATTCTCCTCTTCCTCATCATAGTCTCCCATCGATTCTTCACCGAGTCCCGCTGATTCTCGCTCAGATTTTTATTTGAAGCCCATAAGCCTCTGTCCGCATCCTTAGTTCAAGCCGCCCTCAGCCATCATCTCAGCAGCAGCAACAGCCTCCTACCCAGGCCACTGCTACCCATGAGCCCCTCACACCTTCAGTGGCCATGATAAGTTCAGCCAAAATGAGGACAACTCACTCTCTCGGAAGCCTGATCCTTGCTGCCCGCTGGGGCGGGAGGCGTTCCCACTGCCCTGTCTCAGTCCTGCTCTCCACCTGCTTCCGCACCCGCCTCGGGGTGCCTTCCAGGCCCTCGGATGGCCCTGCCTCAGGGCCTGTGTCCTCCCCTCACAACCTGAACTCCACTCAGCCCTGGAGGCTCCAGCCTCCAGCCCTGCCTCTGACTCACACCTTGCTGCAGCTCTCATGGCACCTGGCTTGTTTTTCCTTCGCAGCATAACCACAGGAGGATGTTAAACTAATTAGTTTATCAGTTAGCTTCTCCCCTCCTGGGACCCCCGCCACAAGCAAGCCGTGCTCTTGCTGACTGACTAAGTGGACAGTAAGGGAAAGGCATCGTGGGGCAGGGGGAGGGGGTGAAGGCCGGGCTGTTTCTCCTGCCATGCTGAGTGCCGCAGGCTGGTGGGAGCGCACCAGTTCTGGGCCTGACGCCTCCTCTGGGCTGGCAGCGGCCCTCACAGCGCGGGGAGGATGGTTAGGTGCCGGGAGGGGAGGAGATGGCGGAGCTGCTGCCAAGTTCTGGGCACCTCCCTGGTCCTCCACTTGGCTGTCCACCTCCCCTGCTACCTCCCTGGCACCCTCTGTGAGTTTCCTCCCTCGGTTGAGCCCCGGGCATCCTGGCAGAGGTTCCAGTCACTGCTGTGGGAGTGCCCACCTCCCGTCCCGACTCCGTACCCTTCTAAATGGGTCCAGCAGCTTTCAGACGAATCCCAGAGCAGCAGGCACCTCTGTGAGCAAGCGACCAGGACAGAGCCGCGCGGAGGTGCGTTTCCTCTCGCACCCAGGGCGCCTTCAGGACAGGAGGCTGGGTGGCCCCTGAGAGCACGGAGAACACACGGGCCCACAGGTGCAGCCGGACAGCTGGGGACCGGCTGCGGGGGTGGGGCCTCCTTAGAAAGAGTCACATGTACTCACAGCGGAAAGGTGCCACTACAAGGAGTTCCCGCACATGTTAGTCTCATGGCCACACCCTGTCCTCCCTGAGAACGCCTCCAGCTTCCAGCCTGGCTCTGGGGCCTGCCCTGCCCCCTGCCCCCTGGGACCTCCCCCCTGGTGCCTCCCCCTGCCCCCTGCTCCCTGGGGCCTCCCCCTGGTGCCTCCCCCTGCTCCCTGCCCCCTGGGGCCTCCCCCTGGTGCTGGGATGAGGGGTGGCAGGTGGGTGGCAGGAGCGGCCCTGCTGGTAGCACTCAGCTCCAGAACATGCCACCTGCTGCTTTGAGAATCATTATCCAAAACAGCAAGATTACGGTTCTTCCAGAAGTGACCCCAGATAAACAGCAATCACCCTTCTGCCCCCCAAACAGAGGCCGAGGGAAGGCACCACGAGCCTCGGACCCAGGACGCTACAGCCCTGAGCGCTGCCTGTGCCATGGCGGGAATCTGGCGCAATCATGAAACGCGGTCACAGCGTCTGACCGATTACTAAAAGTTTTTGGTCAAAAAGTATACAAATTGGTTCCCACTCCCCCACATTTAGTTTTGTGTGTTTTCCAAATGTCTGTAAGGTAAAATGTGAGTACGTGTGACTGAATGCCTCCTTCCAGCCGGGGCCGTCCCTCACGTTATCCATGTAACAGCTACTTAAACATGTCAGGATCCATTTAAGTTCAGACAAGCACAACTAGACAAGCACAACTAACATTGACGGCAGTTCTTTAGAACTGTAATGACTTAGTAAATTTGTGCTTATGTTTTTTTCTGAGCAAATGAACTGAAATAATTATAAAAGAAACATTTTATAAGGTGACATTGCTGCATTTAATTGTATGAAATTTACTGGGGAGAAAATGTAATCATTTTATTCAGTAGTCCATGGTGTAATTAAGACTATTCTTTTGAGGTATCTTGTATTGATGATCTTCCCTTCCACCTGGATGAGACATCTCAAATTCAAAATTATACACCAATTAGGTGTCCTCCCAGGATTCGTCTAAGGAGCCTGTTTTCTCACACCACGCGTAGCCCTGCTTTTCTTACCCGCGGGGATGCGTTTGCAATCACATCGCAGAGAGGCTGCCGAGGCGCCGGGGGTGCCCTGGCTTCTCCCGTTTTATCCGGGAGGGACCCGGGCTGAGCCTCCACTGCATGATGTGATGCTCGGGAGCAGCGGGCCATGCGCGGCGCGGCCCCTGAAAGCCCCATCGCGCACCCGTGACCGCTGGCGCGGGGAGGTGCTTTACAAATCTGCACATGCGAGGCTTTCCATCCTGTTTAAATGGGGCGCTGCATATGAATAATAGATATTAGCAATTAAGCACCCATTCCCCTGCACTCCGTTATGCATTTGAAAGAAATTAGCCGCACGTGGCATGGAAGTGGATGCGGTCTCCTCTCCCCCTTCCGCTTCCCCTGCTGCTTCTGGAAGGTTTCTGTGTTCTCTCAGCGCCACGGTGACCCCGCTCCCAGGGGCTGCATCCTTAAATTAACTGCGATGACAATTCTCTACAATGAAGTGAGTCCGACTGAACCCTTGACTTCCTTGGTATTTGTGCTCTAGGGTAATGGGGGTGTTTCGAAGTCACTATTTGTGGACCGTGCCTGGGTTTTCTACCCGTTCACCCAGGTACCACAGTCTCTTACCTTGAAGGGAGGGTTTTCCACTGGGAAAAGGAGGGCTGTGTTGGCAGCTACTGTGTTGGCCTTAAACCAGAATGTCCTGGTCACACTGGCCTGAGCCCAGGCCTCAAGAAGCAGTCTGATGACGGCCCCCAGGACTCCCCTTCACGCTTTTAAAGAAAGGGAGCAGGTACGTCCCTGCAGGCTGCTACTTCAGTGGAGCAGTCATTTGGACCCTTCCTGAGAATGTGAGTTCAGGCACCATGCTAGCCACGTGGCCTTCTCCTTCTCCTTCTCCCGCCCCTGACGGGCAGACCAGAGAGGCCTGGTGCTGCACCCTGCTACCCAGCGTGTGTGGGCACCAGGGCGGTGTCTAATTCTGGAGTCACACGGCAAGGACCCGTTCCAAGTAAGATCCTCGCGTCCCTGACACTAGCTGATAAAATGCAGAGACCTCTCCTGTGTTGCCTGTTTTCTTGTTTGGCATCAAACTAAAAAAGCCAGAAACTTAGGCATCACCTTGGACTTGAAGTCATAACCTGGCAGTCCGCAGGCCAATGTCGGCCCAAAGCTGCTGGCTGTGTGGAGCTTCGTTAGGGAAACAGAGGTTCCAGGTAACACTAAGCTGGCAGCTTCGCCTCCACAGCCTCGCCCCCCTGCCACTGCCTTCCAGTTCACGCCATCATTCCCAGCATCTCCTGGTGACCAGGCAGCTGGTCTGTAGCTTCTGGTCTAAAGCATCCGTGACAACATTTGTACAAGACACCACATATATGACATGTTAGAATCTTCTCCTCCCTTATTCTCTAAATCTGTAATCATCATACAAGCAAAACCTGCACCTGTGGTATGTGGCAGGGTCCGTGCTGGTTGCTGTATTCGTGTGATTTCAGTTCTTCTTCAAAATGCTCTGGGGGGTGTGACAGGCCCCATTGTATCACCAGAGGCTGAGATTCCGAGTTGGCAACAAACAAACAAACGGTTTTGCAGTTAAAAATTTCAGAGCCAGGCGTTAAACTGATGTGATTCAAAATTCCTCTTATATAGACTTTGTTTTAAATTTTTTTCTTATTTGTAAAAAGTAAATATGAATTTAAATACAGATCAGAAACTATACCCGTTCGAATTTTCCTCTGAGAAACTCCTTCTAGCTTTCTTTAAACACAAATGTAAATGTAAACTCCTTCTAGCTTTTTTTAAACACAAAATCCTTAAGTGGTTTCTGTCTCCTGTACAGGCCACTGCACGGTTATCCTGAGTGAAGCTCATGTGTCTTGGTGCAGTCTGTGACTTTGAACTTGACTATCCTGATCATTTAGCTCCAAATCAATTTGAAATTGGCTTTGCAGATGGAATGTGCTTTGTCACATACAGGGATGGTTTGGTGTAGGTTTGCACTGATCAGAATGTGTAGGAAGTGATATTACCTAGAGCTGTGGTCAGCAAACCGCGGCTCGCTAGCCACATGCGGCTCTTTGGCCCCTTAAGTGTGGCTCTGCTCAAAAATACTACGTGCGGACGCGCATGTACAGTGTGATTGAAACTTCGTGGCCCATGCGCAGAAGTTGGTATTTTGTGGAAGAGCCGGTATTTTGTGGAAGAGCCACACTCAAGGGGCCAAAGAGCCGCATGTGGCTCGCGAGCCGCAGTTTGCCGTGCCGCAGTTTGCCGACCTAGAGGAACCAACCCTTTTATACAAGTTGCTGCTGTAAGCATCTTGGTATTCTATATTGTCTATATTTATATTTTTCCAGCATTTCAATAGCATTCCACTCTTCCTTCTTCTTCCCACCTAAGCAGTCCCAGATCTGAGAAAAGAAAGTTTGCCATTTTTCTTTACCACTTTATAGCCCCACAGCAAAAATGATTACACCTCACCCCAACTCTTTCAAAACAGTTTGCCTCCGAGTCCCAGCGTTGAGAGCAAACACTCTGCCAAGCACCTCGTAATTGCAAAGTGACCTTGACATGTGTCATTCACCAGGGCTTTCAAATAAAAGTCTTCCTGTTTAATATTCATAAAGCATTTTCCCCTAACAGCATATGTGATGATTTTACAGGGGCTGGGGGTTGGGGAGCTTTATTTAGAGATGGTTGATTCTGAGAAACATACCATCAGTGTCTCTCTGATGAACTGAAGCATCGGTTTGGAGGTAAGAAAATTTCGTTTGACATTCTTCAAGGGAGGACAGTGATGTGGTGGATTCTGACAGTTTTTTCTCAGTGGAAGTTTCCTTGGCTGGTCCATCTGTGATGTTGAATTCGGATCCTGAATTTATAACGATAGCATTAATGGGTTTCTCTTCTGCATGTTTTTCATTTGTGAGTTGCATATCTAGATGAAAAAAGAAAAACACACACACAAATTCACTATAGTAGACACAATGTAGTGATCCTAAGAATGGGCATTTGCAGAAAATTTCACATTCTAGACTTTTATAAGAAAAAAGTCTTTTTAAAAACAATTGGTAGTTATAATAGTCATAGGGTCGTAAAATACAGCACAGGGAGTATGGTCAATAATGTCATAACTACCTATGATGCCAGGTGGGTCCTGGAAATATCGGGGGCCACTCGGTACAGTACATGATTGTCTAACCACTATGCTGCACACCTGAAACTAATGCAAAATAATATTGAATATAAACTGTAACTGAACATTTTTTAAAAAACAAAACAAACAATAAAAAAGAATGAAGCATTTTGGAGCAGGAAATTTTGTATGAAAATGCAAGTAAGAATAAAAAAGTGCAATAATTATACAATTTTACACACATTCTAAGTTTTAGCTATCATGTAATTTGCAACATTTCTACTGTGGGGTTTTTTACTGACGGGTGGGAAGAAGCAAGGAGTCCATTCACTTGGATCAGCCAGATCTTGCAGTATGTCGCCAGAGTGCTGTGCTGCCAGCATTTTGTGGGTCTGAGAAGTAGTCAGGGGTCTTCAGTGCTGAGCAGTACTTCTCAGGGAGAGCACGTGATCTCAACCAAGTGCCTTCCTTCCTTTGTTTCTACAAATGCTGTGTAAGGATAGTGTTAAAAGTCAATAGTCCCTAACTCGATTCTCTTTCGCCCTCACACACGCCACATCTCCACACTGTCCTTCGCTGGAAGGTCTTGCCAGGCCTCTGCTCAGGTTTGGTCTATGTGGCTCTGGGCAGGGGTGCTCTTGAGCACATGCTGTGTTTTCCTATAGTCACCTGCACAATTATTAGCGATGTTCAGAGATCCTTTAGCAGAGTCCGTGATTGAGATGGAGGTTGCAGAGGCATAGAGAATGCTGAGCGGCCAGGTGCTTCATGTATTCAACGCCTGCATTTGTTCATTTGTTACCACATCCTGAGTGAGGGTCAGCGATGCATCAATAAGTGGGCTGGGCACTGGGATACAGTGGTGACTAGGCCAGGCATCGTTACTGGCTTTCACAAGCATCCAGCAAGTTAGCAAAGATAACTAAGAAGCTGTAATATTGAGGAGAGTATGAGAAGGAAGCCATGAATAAAGTCATATTATAGAGAGAACCAGCCTGGGTAATGGTGCAGTTAATTTATTATTTATCTACACTCATTAAACTGGGGAGTCCTAAGACTAAGAAAAGAATTAACGTAAGAATTCTCAAACATGTGGCCAGGCTGACTCCCGGGGACACCTTGAGAGCTCAACAAGCAATGGTCCTGGCGATTTGATGGTACTTTGGGGGGTCGGTGAAGATTAACTCTGGAGAATCGCATCCCATTGCTGGCCCAAGGCCAGCTTGATTTAGCAATGCTCATTGAGTGGCTGAAATAAATAACACACTGGACAATTGGGTTTGATTTTGCCATGCTCACACAGCTCAGTGCAAGAAATACGGTATCTTCTGGCTGAGTCCATAGTCATCATCCTTTCAAAAGCTACTTCTTCCTGTGGGGCAGATAGAAACCTCTGCTTGGCCCTACCTCCTAAGGCCATGATTCCCAGGTGAGTCTTCAGAGTAGAATTCACCTGGGAAACCCTTTAAAAATTTGGCATTTTTTAAAAGCTCAGGCTACTCCTCCTCTTCACTCCACCCAACAGATTAGATCACAGTCCCTGGGGAATTTTTGAAGCTCCACGTGCAGACAGATTTGAGAACAACTGCCACAGGGGCCCTCGGCGTTGGAGAGTGGAGAAGGGAAGAGAACAAGCCAGTGTTGTGTGCATGAGCGACGTTCAGAACCCGTCATCACCGGTTGCTCTCCAAGGTCCCGTAACAGAAGGGGAGCTAACAGTGTGGTACACACAATTGTCTTAGGCCATTTTTATTTCCTTCTGATCCTCCAAATAGTGTTGGCTTTCAACAACATTTAATTTTTATTCCCAACCCTTATGCTGCTGGCTTTATATCTCTTAGTGGCAGTTTGATTCATCCTAAAAAGGATTGGCAGAAATAAGCGTTCAGGAAAAACAACTATTGTTGATAGTAATTAATAAAATATTGAAGAGATAGAATTAGCTCAACAGATTGAGAACCTCTTGGCTTCTTCTAACCCAAGAGAGATTCACCAAATTAATGATATAAGGATGATGATGCTAAAAATAATTTATTTTTCTTACTTGGGTACCAAAATGTCCAGTAACCAGCTAATATCACAGACGTAGCCGTGTAAATTAGTCCTTCGAGCACGTAGCACACATGATGTTTTGGGCCAGATGACTGTTCATGACGGGGAGATTGCAGGAAGTTTAGCAGCATCCCTGTCCTCTACCTGCTGATGCCAGTAGCACCCATCACCCTGGGTTGTGACGAACAAAAATGTCTCTAGCTATTGCCGAGTATTCCCTGTGGGCAAATCACCCAGGTTGCAAACCACATCACTGCTCACACACGACACACACAGTCGCGTGCATTTATGTCAAGCTCTCTGTTACCACTTATACAGAGTGGGGCAAAAGTAGGTTTACAGTTGTAAGTATGTGAAATTTTATTCTTGTATTATTATTTATCCCTTATTGTAGTATTTTCCATATGAACAACTATAAACCTACTTTTGCCTCACCCTGTATACCTTACTTAACAAAAACTCTAGGAGGTCGATATTGTCAACCTCTCTGAACAGGTGGCAAAAGTATGAATTGGTGTCTCCAGTTAACAGTTGAATGAGTGTAACTAAGGCTCAGATAGTTCATAAATTGCCCAAAGATTCTTCCTTAGCAAATGGTGGAACGGGGATTTGAACCCAGGCCTGGTGGATTCCAAAAGCTTTGCTTTGATTTGTTTGTAGCTTTTGTCTCGCTTCCTAGCTGTAAAGACTGCACATCAGCAAAACCCTCCTCACCTGAGTCCAATGATAGGTCATGACCCAAAAGGAAGCCCTGCAAACAGCCTACTGACACGCCTCTCCCAGAACAGCCTTAGCAGCGCCAGGCTGGCTCCCAGCACGCGGGAGTCCTGCCCGCAGGCACAGCGGCTTTCCAAGGCGCAGGGCGGGCAGCTCAGAAAGAGCTAATAGGTAAGGGGACTTGGTAAGTATGGAGCGTGCAGCAGCTCTTCACTTACAGATGAAATTAACCATCAGTTCAAATGATCACACGTAGTCAGGCTGCATGGAATTCAAATTGCGTTCGCACAAAGTAATTCAGTAACAAAAAAAAGTTGGCTAGAGGTTACTGAGATATAGGAACATGCAGAGAAGACGGTATGTAGCCAAGTGGTACACGATTCTCTTTTTAATTTTGTGACAATTTTAAGTACAGCAACCATTTGGAGGTACTGGGCTTGTACTGAGAGAATTTTATGGAGAACTTAAACTGCCATTCATAAAGTTATTTTAATTCTATATCTCTGTTTATATTTTTATTTTTTTCATTTCCTAGTGGGAGCTATCTGTTGCTCATTAGAAAGTCATCTGACACACACACGTGTCAGAACCCAGTCTGTTCAGCCCAGAATCTGACATCTGAAGGGAGGCACAATTCTGGGTGAATGTAAATGACATCTTCTGTCTTTTATAGAAGCAATGCTAACAATAATTTCCCCACATTTCATCTTTCATAATGATATTTGACATTGTACACAAAGTATTATAAAGTAGCATAAGCTAAAAGGAGAATCACATCAAAATGGTATCACATCTTCTGCAGAGAAAACTATTTTGGAATTAAATAAGGAACATGTGAAACTATATTTGGGATGTTATAGATAGATCTTGACATTAATGTAGGAAAAATAATTTTTTTCAACAGAAAAAACCACCAACATCAGGACAAAAATTAGAAGCTCAACTGTGTTTCTTAGGGGGAAAAAATTAAATGTATCTTAAAAGTCAGTAAAATAGAAAATTTATGTTTGGGCTAGAAGCAATTTCAGAACCAATGGGCATGCACTTAAATATCAGAAAAGACAGACAGTTAATTAATTTTTTATTACCATTGAGCAAATGCTATTAATTTAATTCAATTAACATTTATTGAGTAGCCACATGCAATAGATGAATCAATGTGACAGGAACAATTCACTTATTTACTTTAAGTTATTAAGGAAACATTTTAAACCTTTTTATTTTTGTTCACTAAATGTGACTTTTTAATTTTTGCATCCACCTGTTCACTGAGTGTATATATCTATACACACAAATTAATAATAAGCAGCATCTCTCCTCCCTGCTCCTCTCATTCCGTTCTTGTTTATCAATTCCCTTCTTTTCCCTTCTCTCTCTGTTTCGGTTTTATTTTTTGACTAACCTGCCTTGTCTCTGTTATTGATTGCTTTTTCCCTCCAGCTCTTCAATGTATTTGTTTCTCAAGACTTTGTCTCCTTAGTTTCTTTCTTTGCACCCACCCTTGTTACTTGTTCGCACTTACAGCTTTATTTTCTTTGTAAAGTTGACCCCAAATCTCTATGCAGTGGGTCTGCCAGTAGCCAGGCCCCACAGGGAGCACAGGCTGTGCGTGGCCCGGGCCTGGTGCTGAGGATTTGAAGAGTTCCAACAGCCCTGGTCCACAAGAGGCCTACAGGCATCACAGGCTGCAAGCCCACTTGTAACTGATGATTGGGTTTTTATTTGACTTACTAGCCAAACCCTTGCAATTATTATGTCTCTTTCTACTAAGTCCCTTGTTCTTTACCCAAATCGAGTAGCTCCAGTTTCCTAAGCTTAAAAATACTCTTTGGTTTGCCCCATCCCTCCATTCAGCTCTTTACAAAAGTCTTATTTATCCTTCCTTCTAAATATCTCACAAGTCCATCTCTGCTTTTTCATTCCCCAAACTACCACTCAGGTTTAAGCATCTGTGTTCTCAGATCTGGACTGTTTCAGCAGTCATTGACAACCCTCCCTAAGACATCTTATGCACTGTAATCAAAACAATGTTT